CCTTTTATATCGAACGGAACCATGGGTCCTCAATCCCGGACGAGAATGGAGATGGTTCCTTCACTCGAAACTAGAACTTCTCCACGAAGCCTTCTGAGGTATGGGCTAGAGGAGGCTACGGCCTTGTCGTCTCCCGGCCGCGCATCGTTTAGATCAAAAGGACCTTCAAGAGAGCATGCTTCCGAGCACTGTAGCATGGCTACACGCCTTATCGAAAAGGCTTTCTTTTTGACACCGATGTGCCGTGGCGCATTCGAGAAGCCTATCGACGGCACACACAAGACAAACTGAAGTCACGGACCCCACAAACAACACCTGGCATTCGGTGCATGACCTGGAATGCCTCGAAGAACTTGGTTCATGACGAGCTCCTGCACTGGTGTACATCCCAACCCCTGGACATCATTGCCTTGCAGGAAATTAATTGGAATTTTAACTCCACCTGGACGTCTCAGGGATGGCATTGTATCCACTCATCGACGAAGCATGCTGTATTTATGCTCATTCGGAGTACCCTGGCCAGACCTAAACAGATTGCCTCGGCCTCTCATTTTGATGGCCGACTTCTTTAGATCCGCCTCTTTTTGGACAGCACATACGATTTCATCGTTGTATATCAGCATGCTTAGAATGTAACCAAAGGCAAGGAACAGCTTCTTGATAATCGTGCAAAGATTTGGACCAGCTTGCAGCAGACTTTGAATCATATTCCGCAGCAGCATCAGATGGTCCTTATGGGTGATTTTAATACCACCCTCAAGTTCGATCCGCCACACATCAATAGCCATGATGCCCGTGCGTCCTTGAACACTCACACCGATCGAGATCTACTTCAACAATTGGTGAAAGCACGGGACCTGATTGCGTTGCATTGTAAACAGCAGTATGCATCGATCTTTGAACATGGCTCCCATCATTCTCGCATTGATTATGTTTTTGTTCGACAACATCAGGTTCAATTTCGTCGTATGCAGCCCACCATGGATAGGAGTTTTATGCGCAATTTTGGATATCATGGCCCTCATCATCATCCATTGTTCTTTGTCCTGCCCAGGTGGTTTGCGCCTCGGAAACCAGTGCTACCTCTTAACAACATTGACCGATTTGCCATCCGTACGGCTAGACTCGAATACACTGCACACTGGCAGCAGTTTGAGGTCCAGATTCGTCAGAGCATCGCTCGACACTCTCCACCTCCTCCATCGCATCAGGTATCCATGCTCGATTTGGAACAAGAACTTCGAACTATTTGTCCTCATTTCTTTCCTAAAAGAAAATCAAGGGTCCCTCATGCACCCCAGATTTCCTCCATGGCCGCCAGGATGTGGAATGCCCGCAAGCAGGCTCTGGCCGTTCGTGGTCGCAGCATTCGCGATCTCTTTGAGTGTTGGGCTCATATCACCACCTTTCGAACCATCCATAAAGCCATTCGTAAATAGAGCAGGCAAAATAAGAGAGACAAACTGCAACAGATTCTCACTGAGGGTGCTGATCTTGCCCTTCATGGACGCATCTTTGACTGGTACCGGAAGATCAGGCTCCTGTGTCCGAAACAAAGACCGAAAAGAATTCAGCTCTTTGATACTCATGGCATGCCTCTTGCACCGAGACAGGAATTGGAATCCATCGAACAATACTATATACAACTGTTTGCTGATCCGAAGTTTGACGCCCGGGATCTCGAACCTCTCACCCGACTTCCCTTCGACCGCCAGGATGTGCTTACTGAGCTTTTGCACCTGCCAAGCACCAAAGCCCTGGCACCGAATGGATTGTCAGCATTGATCTGGAAGCATTTTGCGCATGATCTTGTTGATCCTTTAATGCATCAGATTAAGCAGGTTTGGCTTCAATATCCCGTAAACCTTCCGGATCATTGGACAACAGGATGGATCCATCTCCTCACTAAACCGAATAAATCCCCAAGCAAACCCCAAGCTCTCAGACCAATCTGTCTCCAACACCCGATCAACAAGATTCTTGCAGGAATCCAATGCAGACAGATCATTCTGCAGACGTTCGACCGACTAAGACGTCTTCCACTCTATGCGTATTTGCCTCACAGAGGGACACGTGAATGTCTTCTCATCGTGGCCGAACATTGCAGAAATGTACGCATGATGTGCAGGGCTGTCAAGACTGGAACTCAGCCAAGGCTGCTTGGAGGACTCCAAGTCTCACTAGATATGGAAAAGGCTTTTGACACAGTCAGCCGCACCCTGGTGCTTCGAGCCTTGCAGTTGTACCATTTGGATCCTGACCTTTTTCAACTTGTGCACACATGGCTCACCCCCCATAAGTATTGTATTCCCTTCAAGCAGTTGATCGGCCAAATCCATGCACATCGGGGAATCAAACAGGGAGCCAAAGATGCCCCCTTGCTATGGACCCTCACCATGAGCCTTGTACTTGTTGATCTCCAAAACAAATACTCCCATCAATGGCTTCACGAGCACATGGTCGTTTACGCAGATGACATCCACCTCCGGTGGATAATTCGATCAACAGCCCAAGCCCTTGAAGCTCTCACTGACCTTCAACATGTGTTAATGACTCTTCAAGCCTTTGGCTTCAATGTCAATCTTCACAAGTCGGTTGCCATGCTTCGACTCCAAGGGAAAGAGGCTCCTGCCTTTCTTCGTAACTGGGTTAGTCGACCATCCACTGGCCCTGTCCTGACGCTGCCTGAACGAAGATGGCAGCTACCGCTTGTGTCGAAAACAGCGTACCTCGGAGTCATCATAGGTTATAGAGCATGGGATGCAGACACGACAGCACGTAGGATCACCGCCGCCAAATGGTGCTTCCGCAATCTCAGGTCCTGGCTTGAGAGTGATGTCCACCCCATTCGAACCAGACTCAAGCTATACAAGCAATGTATTCTAGCCACGGTTCAATATGGCATTCATGAAATGGGATTGACTCAGCAGGGATTCCGACAAGTCATCAGCATGATCAACACACATCACCGGTCGATTGCCCACTCACCTGTGTGTCTCACTCATGAATCCACGACACATTTCTTTGAACGCCTTCGTGAACCACCACCATGGACAACCATCCTCACCCAACGAAGGCGGATCCAAGAAGCCCTATCGACTAAACGGGCCAAACTCCGCCTTGAAGCCATGGACAACGAGATGCCGGATGTGTGTGTGTGTTCGTCCCAGATCTCTGGATTGAACCATTGGTCAATCCCCCGGATCATCCCTCCCCCATGGAACGCACTCAGGCAGTGGCCTGTCTTGAATGCCATCGAACCTTCCAGCAGGCCGGAACGCTGAAACGTCACATGAGGCAGGTACACCAGGTCCCTTGCGAGCCTGACGATGTTTTTCTGCCTTTACGAGACGCCTGGCAAGGACGTTCGATATGCACGCATTGTTCATACGTCTTCGTAGATTTTTACAGACTTCGTGACCATATAAATAAGCATACGTGTCCTCGTTTTGATCCTGCTCAGGAGTCGATCGTGCCGATCATCAACCGACCCGATCTCAAAATGCATTTGCGACACAAGTCAGTCCCAGGTCTGTTGTTGAACTCAGCATTGATCAATGAGATTGCCAATCACTGCACATTTTGTCACATGCGGATTGCTGCTCGATCGATTCGCAAGCACTTCACGGAATGCCATCCGGACCTGGTTCATCTTGCCGACCACTTTCGTGATCATGTTCAAGGCATGGCCAATATTGGAGGAGGTCGTGGCAGATGCAGCTTTTGTGACAGTGAATGCCGCGACACCAAAGCGCATGAATGTGGGGTCCTCTTTCAGATCTCGATCATGATGGGACACACCTTTCAACCAGACCACTTCCCCATCATGCCTGTAATGCAGAAAGCTTCCAGGACCACTATTGAACCTGGCTCCATCTCCATTCCGCCACCGACACCGGCTCAGCCAGGTTTGAATGCGGCATCGTCGTCCACGCCGACCAGGCCTGAACCGCCTGCCCCTCGTGCCATTGCGGTTGATGAGTCTCATGCCTCTCCAACACCACTGCATACATGTCCCCACTGTCACACAAGATTCCTGACAGCCACAGGCCTTGAGAGACACATGTCAACTCATGGACATGAAGTTCAGGCAGATGGCAACCTCGTTCGTGCCGCCAAGATTCCGAAACTTGACACAGTCCCGGCTATGTTGACCAAGCCTAGTCAGGTCATTGAGACCCCGTCCAAGTCGTTTAAATGCCCATTGTGCTTGGAAATGATTGGCCGCAAGGCCTTAGCCGGCCACCTGTCCAAGGAGCATCAGGTTGTGAAGCCACCGTTCTTTGTCTTCCGCCCTAGTCGTGACATGACACCGGGACGTTTGGCATGTGCACACTGCCACACCACCTACACGTCCGAAGCTGCCCTTCGCTTGCACTACCAGAGAGCAAGCTGTCCCATTTTGTTGATTGAATGGGTCAAAGATCAACACTTTGGACCAACGGTGACGCCACCTGTTCTCACTGAGGCCTCTGAAGCTTCGGACCCAGAGCTTCTGTATTCGACCACTAACTTGATCTCAGGCAGATCAGTTCAGGCCGTCAGTGCCTTGTGCATCCCGATAAACACGCCTGTGTACACCAGCGACTTGTCTTGGCCATTGTTGACCACAGCATCCATGACCACTGTGCGCGAATTGTTTAGCCAGGTTTCTTTTTGGCCAGAGCTTCGACTTCGCTGGTTTCATACTTTTGTACACTGGATGGCCCACCTGTCAGATCTTCCGCATCTTGACCTTGAGGCCACACTGCATCACAAGCTTCTGGACCTTTGCACGTTGGTGGTTCCGTGCCATTGGGCTTGGGACTCAGCCGAACAGACCCTACTGCAATATGATGACATTGCTTTTCATTCGTCAGCCTGGATTCAGCACTTTCTTTTTCACAGCCTGTTATATGAATTGGAACACGTGCTGGCCCAAGACTGGTTCCATAGGTATCTTGCTTTCAACCTCAGAGATGGAACGTATGAGCGGCGACGATCAATCTTTTGCAGAGCTGATGGACGTCTGTGGCAGTCACTTTGCCAAGCGTCCAAGAACGGAGGAGGAGGACAGATTATCCGATCGCCGCACTACCCGAAAGGGACAGAGGAAGCCTTCGCGCTCATCGGCTTCGGACTTGGGAGAAGATGGCAGCTTGATCTCCATGATTGCGAAGTTGACGCTTCGTCAAGAGGACCAATTGAACCAGATCCACCTCGACGAGAGCTTCATCTTCTTTGTCCAAGCAGGAAAAGGCAGCATTTTGCCACTGATGTTGAAGACATCAAAGGACTGGCATGGGCAACGGGAGGCGGGACAAGTAAACACCTCTCTGAAACAACATATGTTTCGCACAGTGTTCGAGGAACTTGCCTACAGAGCTTCGAAACTCCCCTTCGGATCAAACGATCACGAACTGATCAAGGTCCTTCAGAACAAGCAGGTATTGACTGCCTCCAACTCATGGAACTCTCCAATGGAACTCCAAGGAGAAGACCTTGAAGCCAGCAGCCAGAGATCCACTCCCATCCGAGGAAGCCGCAGCATTGATCCAGAAGATCCATACTCTGGCGGCTCAAGCGGACCTCATTCACCGGTTCACAGCTTTGAAACCAATGCCACAGGATTCCACGGTGACGGACTCAGTGGTGGTGCCTTGGAGACTGGACATCTCACTGAGGGGCCAAGCAGCACAAGATCTCTATGCAGCCCTTCAACAGCTGACAGGCAGCGGGCTTACGCAGCTGATCTTTGTTCGAATCCGACCATCGACCTTGCAAAGGTCACCATTGGCACAGGCCGTTGCAGCTCGCTTGATGAAATGAGGAAAGCCATTTTGGCACTTTCCTTGGGGAATGGGTCCAACCTCTGCTACATGAATGCAACTCTGTTGGCAGAACTATGGGCATGCTGCATGACTGATACCTTTGTTTGGCACGCAGTTGGAGAATGGAAAGAACCTTTGCTTAGATTGCTTTCGTGCAGCAACCAGCATCAGGTCCTGACTGACATCGGCTGCTTGGGCCAACTTTTGCATTCATGGTTCACAAATCATGAACCGGGGACACAGCAAGATTCTGCTGAGTTTGTTGGCTGGCTTCGACATGCCATGCATGGGGATGAACATGGTGGTCAATCCACCTCTAAATGGGAGGCACGGCTAGAAGCAGCCACTGAGGATTCAGGCCAATTGTACGCTCCGATCCTCCTTCAGCAGACAAAAGATGGAGTGTGCACGATCCAGGACCTGATCAATCTCTGGCATGACCAAGCACCTTTTCACTGTGGTTTCACGACAGACACAACCACCGTATGCCTTCAAGTGAATAGGTACCCTGCCATGGATGTTCGATCCCCTCAACCCATTCGATGGAACCGCATTCCTGTACACTTGCCTTGTTTCGTCAATGCTCACAGCTGGACAGTCCACTGGAAACGTTTTGAGATAGTTTCCGTTGTGGTTCACCGAGGCGCAGAACCTCACACCGGCCACTACCAGGCCTGTCTTCGCACCGGAGGCTGTCGCTTCCTGACTGAGGACTGGAGTCGAGCAATGCCTTGTGCTCACACGACAGACCTTGAGCATGATTTGTATGTTCTTTGGCTCGTCGACAGCACACACCTCACAGAAGCATGGAGCTCACTTCTCGCATGCAATCCTTTCGTGCCTTTTTCGAGCAGCCATGACCACTGACGCATGATGCCGCCCGGGGCAATAGATGCGCTAGACGCAACCAATCTACGGATTGAAGCCCAACACGGGCAGAGCTCTCTCTGCCGGAAGTGAATAATAATAAATATCGATATATTATTACGAATACTATTATATTGCATTGAATTTATAAATATATTTTTGATTTTTGGATTTAATAATTTATAATTTAATTTTATGATTTTTATTTGTTTTAGATTGATATATTTTTTTATTGGAAGGATGATAAGAAAAAATATATATATTTCGATTATTTGATGAATGAATATATATAATATGGATTGTGAATGAATATGTTTTTGAAGGATTGGCGATTTTGATATGGATTAATGCGATATTTGTGATGTGATAATTCGAAAACATAAAAAATATTATTTTATATATATTATTGATATTTTTATATCGTCAAAAAGGCTTATTTATGGTTGACGAATATAATAATAATGAGGATTATTATTTTCATGTAAATTTAGTTTTTGGCATAAATTTATTTCCCTACAAAGAAATTAATAATGAAGATTATAAATTGCAAAATTTTCCATTTTTTCTTTTCGTATATACCCGACCATTTGGCAGGGATATTTCATTTTGCATTCCGCATTTGGAATTTATTTTATATAATATATTGAAATATAGTTAATTTCAGAAGCGCCATTTCCATTCAAGAGTAGTGCGTAATCTGGTATTCGTGGGGCGGCGCCATGTTTCGATCGATCGTGTGTTGAATTTTTGTCACGAGCAGCCATCCCCATGTTGCCATTTTGGCCTTCGATTGCGTTATTATTTGTGCACCTGAGTAATCCGGTCCCAAGTCCGGAGAATCTTCAATTCATTTAGGATTTAGCATTCGATACCCGAGGATTCGGCGACCCATCTGGCTTCAGGGATGGGTGTGAACAGCCGTGAATATGCACCTTCAGGCACTCCTACGAAATGTCATGAGGCATGGGCGTCGTCGGGCCTCGGCCATGTTGAGTCACGCTTACGACGCAATAGATTGAAGCGCTCATATACTAGAACTTGTGCTAGAGCCATGAGGGAAGGACATGCCACTTTCAAGGGCAAGCAGATATATCCCCATCAAAGTCTTTTTCGCATCAAACAATACATTCTTGCTAAAACCCCCAAAATTCGCATGATTACACCTGCACATGCACCGAACCTCCCAGGGCCGGGACAATTTCGCAAATTTCAATGGAATGCATCAAGAATGATTGAATACCATTCTTGGTTACATTGGTGTGGCCAGAGCCCCTACGACATCATCGCCGTTCAGGAATCAGGATGGTCAATGAACGACGAGTGGAGCAGCCAGCACTGGCACGTCGTACACTCTGCCGATCGTTTTGCCTCGATCTTGTTCATGGTACGCTCTGCACTCATTCGACAGGACCAAATTTCGATAGTACACCATGCTCATGGCCGCCTGCCTCAGGTACGACTGAATCTCTCCCGACCCCAAGGCTTTGTGATCGTATACCAACAGGCTTGGTCTATGCAATATGGAACAAAATAGATTCTCTCCAAACGGCAACACTTTTGGACTCTCCTGCAGCATTGTCTTGATTGATTGCCTCAGAGAAATCAGATAATAATCTGTGGTGATTTTAATATTCCACTAAATTACCTGCCCCATCAGATGCATATAACTGATCCCAAATACCATCAGGCCGCCCAACGGAACAAACAGAAGTTCACCCAATTGGTCCAGCAGTTCGAATTAGTAGCACTCCATTGTCGTCTTTTCACACCATGTTCAAACATGGCACCCATGCCAGTCGGACCGATTTTGCATTGATGCGAAGACAGCAGATTAGTTGGCCGTTTATTGCACCCCAACTCCTCCCCGATTTCGTCTTCAATTTTGGGTTACTTGGCCCACATCATCATCCATTGGTTTGGACCATCCCCAAATGGTTCCTTAGACCAAGACCCAAGCCGATTGTCCTTTTCGACCGCTACCGCATTCGACAGGATATGAAGCAGCACACCCAGCGCTGGCAAGGGCTTTGTTGGGAGGCCTGACAATTTTTGCAGTCCACCAATGAGATTAATCCTTCCTATTTTCATCAAGTTGAAAGCTCATTGATTGACCTTTGCAAGACATGGTTTCCTAAATAAACATCCACACCAATCGCACGCAATCCACTTGCATCCATTACTGCCCGCATGTGGCAGGCCAGAAAACATATTCGTGCATTGATTGATCGCTCGCCCGCTTCCCTTTTCATTGCCTGGAAACACCTTGCTTTGTTTCGAAGATACCACAAGCAAGTTCGCCAATTCAGCAGACACAACAAGCGCCGGAAGTTGGAAGACTTCCTCAAGGAAGGTGCTGATTTGGCATTGCGTCATCAGACATACGATTGGTACCGCAAGGATCGAAAGTTGTGTCCCAAGCAACGCCCTCAGAAGATTCAGATGTATGATGAATATGGATAACCACTCAACCCCTCCTTAGAACTCCAACGAATTGAACAATTCTTTGGCAACCTATTTCAGGACCCTTTCTTTCAATACCCTGGTAATGTACCTCTCCATACACTTCCTTTCATCCAGGAAGATGTACTGCAGGGCCTTCGACACTTACCAGCTATGAAAGCACTAGCCCCACCATGTATGCCCGCCATCATCTGGCGACACCTGGCCACGGAGCTTGCGGGTCCGATCCATGCTGCCATTGAATACCATTGGTGTGCAGAACAAGTGGCACCACCAAGTCACTGGCTTGCCGGCTGGTTGCACTTGATTCCTAAACCAGGTAAACCCAGCACTCAACCAGCGGCTCTTAGGCCCATTTGCCTCCAGCACCCTATTCTCAAGATTGTTTCCAAGATTTTAACAACCCTCATCAAACAACATGCCTATTCTACTCTCAGGTGCCTGCCACTATATGCATACCTCCCGCAAAGAGGCACCACAGAGTGCCTCCTTCGTGTCTCACAGCACTGCCAGCAAATTCGACAGCTTTGTCGTGATCGACAACTGGACACAAGTCCTCAAGGTTTGTTCGGTGGCCTCCAGATCTCACTCGACATGGAAAAGGCATTTGATACAGTCCGTCGAGACCTCGTGCTCCATGCCTTGAACCAGATAGACCTCCCTCCCGACGTGTTGCGTATAATCCAAACTTGGTTGGCACCCCATAAGTATCACATCCCCTTCAAATCATTGGTAAGGACCATCGAAGCCTCACGAGGGATTAAACAGGGATCCATTGATGCGTCCATCCTTTGGACCCTATGTATGTATCTCATCATGAAGGAATTTCTATAAAGATGCTCCCATATATGGTTGCACGACCACCTGATTGTGTACGTAGACGATGTCCACCTTCGTTGGACATTGAATAGCATTGCTGCTGGTCAATGTGCCCTCGGAGACCTTGCGCACATTTTGCACACCTTTCGTTCATATGGGTTCAACATTAACACCACCAAGAGTGTTGTTCTCTTTCGAATTGGCAAAGGGGTCTCTAAGTTCACTCGCCGTTGGATCAGCAGGACTAAATAAGGTCCACAGCTTTTGATCCCAGACACACCGTTTCGACTGCCAATGGTGGCCAAAACAGCGTATGTCGGTATAATCATAGGATATCGAGCATGGGAAATTGACACCACTGCCAGACGAATCCAAGCAGCACAGCACTGCTACTCGATTAGCGGTGGCTCCAGGCACAATCCATTCCTGCACATGTCCGATTCAGGCTATATCAACAGTGTGTTGTGCCAACAGTTCAGTACGGAGTACACGAGATGGGGTTGCCCACATCATGTTGAAAAGATTTGTGAGTATGATCAATATACATTATAGACGGATGACATATTCACCAATTCACCTCACATATGAGAACACCACTGATTTCTTCCTACGACTTGGAATGCAACCACCATGGACACATATAGCAGCGCTTCATCGTAAATTGACCACCGCTCTGGCCCACAAGCACCAGAGCATGATGGAGCCAGATGAGCCGCAACCGGATGTTTGTATGTTCAATCCTACATATCCACCATGTGCCATGCATGAATATGTCTCCCCGACACCACCGATGCCCCAGGCCTCGTTGGCCTGCCCGGAGTGCCATCGACACTTTGCCCAGGCAGGGATGCT